TTATCACATGGCCCAGCGATTCTACTCCTAGTTATATACCCAAGAAAAACTAAAATCCATGTCCACACACAAACTTGTACTTAAATATTCTTAGCTGCATTATTTATAATGACAAAAAATGTGCAATCAGCCACAAATCCCATCAAGTGATGAGTGGATAAATAAAATGTACTATGTCCTATGATGAAATATTATTCAACTATCAAAACAATTGAAATACTTATTCATACAACAATACTGATGAACCTTGAAGACAATGCCAAATAAAAGACAATCACAAAACACCATATGTTGTATGGCATCTATAGGAAATGTCCTAGACAGGCAAATACCTACTGACAGAAAAAAGATTAGTAGTCATTTAAGGCTCTGGGAGGATAGGAAGGGGCTTAATTGCTAATGTGTATGGAGGTTTTTGGGGGGGGTGATGAAAATGTTCTAAAAGAGACTGTAGTGAAGGTTGCACATTTCTGTATACTAAGACACTGAATCATATACCTTAGCAAATCATGGTGGTGTCCTAATTATATTTCAATAAAGCTGTTTTTTGTTTATACATGACAGTAGACTGTATTTTGACATATCATACATGTGTTGGGGGCTGCGATCAAGTCAAGATGGCGCCTGGCAGTTTGCCAGGAGGAGTGGTTTGTGAGGCAATGCCACCGAGTCATTAAGATGGTGGGGATTCCTTATTGGCTGATTGCTGTATCTGAATGATAATTGAATCAAGCTGTGTGTAATCAGTTAGGTATATATACCGCTGTTGTTCCATAATAAAGCAGTTCCCGCTTCAACCTTCAAGTTGCTTGTCACCTCCCGGTTATTTTGCCCAGCCAGACTGCGGCAAATGGTGGCCCGTACGGGGGAACTCCTGGACGCTGGGGGGGGGGGTGTAAGTGGCAAGGGAGAACAGCAGATGATTTGGATTCCAGAGAGACTAAAGCGATTTCTACAGACCAAAAAGAAGATGATTTGGCTCAAATCCATAACAGCTGATATCCAGAACTCCAGTTTAGCTATCCTTACATCTGCAACAATGGTTCTTCCACACCTGGAGGCTAATGAATAATGAGCACCATTAAGGCCTATTTCAAATGTAAAAAACCTTGGGGCTTACTTGTGGGAATACCTTCAGATCCATATGCAAGTTACAAGAAGGATGAGATATCAAAAGAAGAGTCAAACCCAGGTGGTAGCCAGGATGCTTTTTTCAATTTTGTTTTCTGAGCTCATACATACCTATGTTAATGTTTTTCTTATCAGTTCTATTTTTGATCAACTGCAGAGTTTTTAAACATTGCAATGGAGATTTCGCCTGTGAAAAGCTACAAGGCCTTTACTATTGTGTTATGTGTGCACACTTGTGTTATGTGTTATATGTCTGTATGTGCTATGTCCATATCATAAGAGGAGCTCTCATGAAAATTAAAAAATGGATCCAAATATCTTTTATTCACGTGATTTAAACAGTTTAAACAGATGAAAGTAAAGATGTCTTTAAAATTAAGCTTACAAGTTTTTCTAGGTGTTCAAAAAAATGTTGAAATAATCTAAATTCAGAAATTTACAAGGATTGTTTTAAAATGTGAACAAAAAAGGAGGTTAACAGATCTGTTTGTTTACTTTCACCTTTCCTATTCATTATATCTAATAATTCTGTTCAGGATAATGTACTAAATTGTTCAGAAAATTGTTCTCTTAGTGCCTGCTGGAATGCTATACAATTTTCTTTAGCCATCATTGCCAGAATTCCTACCTTCATCCCAGTGCCAGTGAAGACAAAAAAAGAAGAATTTCCAGTATTACTGAAAACCAAATGAGACTTCGGAATTACAGCTACCATCATCACAGCTGTTGCTGTTTCTGCTCCTGCAGCTTCTGCGATAGCTATCACACAAACTGTACAAACTGCTGCATCAATACTTCAAGAAGGAATAGACATATTAATGGATTCCTCTGCTTTAAGCTGCTTACAGAACTTACCTGGACTGTGTATCACTTATATGCATTATGAACTAATCTATTGATAATTGTAATAGTACCAGGGTATCTTTGCTGACCGTGTCATCAGTGGTACAATTTTTCCAAGGGCTTCTTACTTGGAGCAGTCAATGGCTTGGTATTGTGGCATTTTGTATCCTCCTCCTTCTGCTTGTGGCAGGTTGTTTATGGTGTTTGTAAAGATTACACAGATCCACAAGTATGGCTAAATATATTGGGCTGGTAGTCAAAGATGGGTAAGATCCAATTACAATGGTACCAACCTAAGCCAGGAGGCTGATGATTTGAGGTCAGACCATCCAATGACGGGTAAGGACCATATGTAGTATTGGACAACTTAAAACAGGCACAGTCCCTAAACCACATACTTGTTAATAAAACAAAAGGGGGGAGATGTTGGGGGCTGCAATCAAGTCAGGATGGCGCCTGGCAGTTTGCCAGGAGGAGTGGTTTGTGAGGCAACGCCACCAAGCCATTAAGATGGTGGGGATTCCTTATTGGCTGATTGCTGTATCTGGATGATAATTGAATCAAGCTGTGTGTAATCAGGTATATATATACCACTGTTGTTCTGTAATAAAGCAGTTCCCGCTTCAACCTTCAAGTTGCTTGACACCTCCCGGTTATTTTGCCCAGCCAGACTGCGGCACACATGGAACATAACACTTCATTTTTGTAATTGTAGATGATGTGAAGTTTCACTGGTCGTGTAGTTACATAAGAATATAAAAAATTTATGTCTGATCCATTTACCGTCTTTCCTATTCCCATCTGCCCTTTCTCTTCATTCTCCTTTGTCTAATTCAGTGAATTTCCATTCCTCCCTCCCTACCACTTATTGTAAGTTAGCATCCACACATCAGAGAGAACATCCAGCCTTCCAGCCTCTGGTTTTTGGGATTGTTTGTTTCACTTAGTGTGATAGTCTCTGGTTCCATCCATTTAACAGCAAATGCTGAAATTCCATTTTTCTTTATGGCTGAGTAATATTCCATGTGTTTACGTACCACATTTTCTTTATCCATTCATCTGCTGAAGGGCACCTAGATTGGTTCCATAGCTAGCTATTGTGAACTGAGTTGCTATAAACATTGATGCAGCTATGTCACTGTAGTATACTAATTTTAAGTCCTTTGGGTATGTGCCAAGGAGTGAAATAACTGGGTCAACTGGTCAAATGGTGGTTTCATTTCAAGTTTTCTGAGGAACCTCCATACTGCTTTCCATAGAGGCTGTACCAATTTGCAGTCCTACCAGCAATGGATGAGTGTACCTTGTTCCCACACCCTCACCAATGTGTTTACTTGCATTCTTGATATTTGCCATTCTGATTGGAATGAAATGGAATCTCAGTGTAGTTTTAATTTACATTTCTCTAATTGCTAGAGATGCTGAACATTTTTCCATATATTTTTGACCATTCATATTTCTTCTTCTATGAAGTGTCTGTTCAGTTTGTCCATTTACTGATTGGGTTATTTGGTTTTTGGTGTTAAGTTTTCTCAATTCTTTGTATATCTTGGAGATTAATGGTCGATCTGAGGTGCAGATGGCAAATATCTCCCATTCTGCAGGCTCTCTCTACATGCTCTTGATTATTTCCTTGGCTGTGAAGAAGCTTTTTTGTTTGATACCATCTCATTTATTGATTCCTAATTTTACTTCTTTCACTTTAGGAGTCTTGTTGAGGAACTTGGTTCCTAAGCCAACATGATGGAGATTTGGGCCTATATTTTCTTTTCAGAGTCTCTGGTCTAGGTCCTTGATCCACTTTGAATTGAGTTTTGTGCAGGGTAAGAGATAGAGGTTCAATTTCATTCTACTATATATGGATTTCCCCAGCACCATTTGTTGAAGAGCTATCTTTTGGCACCTTTGTCTTGTACGAGACAACTATATTTATGGGTTTGTCTCTGTGTCTTCTATTCTGTTCCATTGGTCTTCACGTCTGTGCCAATATGATGGTTTTGTTACTATAGCTCTGTGGTATAATTTAAGGCCTAGTATTGTGATGCCTCCTGCTTCACTTTTCTTGCTAAGGATTGCCTTGGCTATTCTGGGCCTCTTAGTTTTCCTAATGACTTTCATGACTAAAAGCTGATGTTTTTTAAAAAGTGATATCACAAAATATAAAAGCCTATGTTGTGCTAAAACTAAATCCATTCCCTTAAGTAACCTAAATATCTGGAACAGACTGTTTTATGCAATATAGAATGGCTTTATCATTGCTGTCAAACAGAATGATTGTATTCTGTACAACATATCACTTAGAAGATTCATCTTCCTCAAATCTGATTTTTTTTAAATACCTCTGTTTTATTTTTATGTGGTGCTGAGGATTGAACCCAGGGCCTCATACATGCCAGGCAAGTGCTCTACCACTGAGCTACAACACCAGCCCCAATTCTAATTTTTCATAAGAGACCTAGTACCAAATTTCATGATTTACACAAATTGCCTGCTGTTTTCAGGACACTCATATAATATATGTGAGAAACATGAAACATGGATTTTGTGCCAGGGTTACTGCTTTCTGACATTGCAACACAAAAGAAGAAATTGGTCTACACTACAAAAGAGCTTAAAATATGGCTAAGTTATAGGATATCCCTATTTTTCTCTCTGCCTAATACAGATTTAATCAGGCTTTTAATTTTAGGCTCAGGATTTTATTCTAAAGAGAGAATATTAATTAAAATTTATTCTAAAGTCAGTATAAATTTTATGCCTCTATAGTGTATCAACTGCTCATTATTTTACTAAGAATGAAAGTACTTACCCATGCAAATGCTACTGTAAAATTCTTTTTTTATGTTATCTAAGGATTTGATGATGGAATACATTTTCCTTCCAGTTCTAAGCTAATTTGTAGAGTATATTTTATTCTTTATCGTTTGTTTTCTTTTGCAGAGGTGGATGGGGACGGAAACCAGGGCCTCATACATGCTGGGTACAAGTGCTACCACCAAGGTACATCCCCTGCCTTGAACACTTACCTTTAGAATTCTGGTTGTACCAGTATTTTTTTCTTGGGTATCCAGCTCTTCTCGTTTTTTGATTTCTACTTTCATACCATTCACAAGGCCTGAAGGCTGCCAGGAATCATCCCATATATCTTTGGGTGTAGGAAAACACCAATCCTAGAAGATAAAGAAAAACACAACAATAAACTGAATAGTAACACATGATCAAACGAAGAGGATAATGTGGGCATTGTAGAGGCAGGGAAGTAACGGGCATCGAACAAGAAAGGTACAGATTAACTTTCTACATCACTGTGACTCTCCTCCTTCTGTTCTGGGTCTGCACCCAACATCTTCAACTTCTCTGAACGCTTGAATCTCATAAACATAAAAACAACCCTGTTTGTAGTATTTAACATTGTTTCCATAGCTACATGATTTTTCATGATCGTCTAGTACTTAAAAAGTATAAATACTAAGGAGTAACTTAACTGCATCTTCTTTCTCACAAGTATTTCTTCTTTTTTATAAGTAGGGRAAAACATATTTCAAATATATATAGTTAGGCACAATATGAGCAAATGTCCTGACTGCAGAAACCCAAGGTTATATTAAAAGACTAATGCAACAAAAATAAATTTCAGAAAACAGTTTCTTCAGTTTGTTTATGGATTCCAAAGCACTGACTGGGTGGGCCAATGATAAAACAGATATCATAATACTTGAAAGGGCAGATAATCACAATAAGACTTCCCTCTGCTGGATCCTCTGCCCACTTATGTACTACTACCACTTTTTTTTTTAATCATGTACTATTATGAATTAGAACCTGACAAATTTGTTTAAATTCCAGAACATATAGCTTTTCCAAGGCCTGGACAACTAAATTTAAATTTCCTCTTTGCAGTAGTGATTTTCTTTCTGTTATCCCAAGGGTCTAACCTTCTGTGGCATTTCTTCACATGTAGGACATTGTTTCTTTCCACCAAGGCTTGAGGTAAATAAATGGGAGGCAGCATCACCTCCTTTTCCTATTTTAGCCTGCAGTGGTAGCCAGTTCTCATCCCAGATATCATCACCTATGGTCACTGACTCCAGGCATGGCATTCCAGTGGGGATCTCATCCTAGAATGTATCAGAGGACAAAGAAAAACTATATTTTATAGTTCCTTATGAGCATATTTTAAAATTTAGTTTTATAATGTTTCCTGACTCCAAGCAAGGATGGCAGTTTAAATACACAATTTATTGCTATTTATTTTTCCTGTGTTCCTGAAATGCCACCAAAACAAAATAAAGAGACTTAGGGTATAAACTCCATGGTCAAAGAGACTAAAGAAAAAGCCACCCACATTCTGGATATAGGAAAGCAGACAACTGTTAACTGATTAAGGAATCCCAATAAAGCAGACTGCAGAGGTTATAGTGAGAAAAACTGAGAAGCAACCCAAATTTATAGAATACTTTAAAAGTATTTTAAAGGAAATGCACTATAAGGTTTTTAAAAAGAGGAGTAAAATGGCAATGAAAACAAGAACACCAGTTAAAAGTCAGTGTGAGCAGCTATGAGATATTCAGAGCCCTGCCCTGTTTCAAGAACTCAGGCAACCACACCTCTTGGTCTTCCAGAGGGYCAAGAAAGACTTCTAGAGGGGAAAACTGAAAGCAAAACAAGAACATAAGAAAGAGAAATTGGGTGAAGGTTTTTATACTGAAGATTGCTGGCCCTCTTTTTAATATAGCAGGATAGAGATAAAAGGAAAAGGCATGTGAACTTGAGGACAGATCCATAAACAATACCAAATCTCAACAGAGAAAAAAAAAAGAYTGGGGGGGGAAAAACCCAGAAGATTCTTTTTAAAGCCTCAGAAACTAAAAGACAATGTCAAAATATTTAACATTTGTGTAATTAAATTTCCAAAAAGAAGAGAACAATGTCAAAAAATAATTTGAAGAAAAGTGGCTAAAAACTTCCAAAGACACAAACCTACCAGTTTAGCAAACCCCAAATACCATAAACCCAAGGAAATTCATGCCTGGACAGATTATAATCAACCTTCTGAAAACTAAAGGCAGAAATTATCTTGAATGGAGCCAGAGAAAATGAAATATTACATGTAGAGACAGAGCTATATCATTGCTACGAATTTTGTATCAGAAACTATGAAGGTCAGAAGGAACTGCAATAAGAAGCTTAAAGTGGGGCTCAGTGGTGAAGGGCTTGCCTAGCTGTGTGAGGCACGGGGTAAGATCCTCAGCACCACATACAAATAAATAAATAAAATAAAAATTTCATCAACAATAAAAACATGTTTTTTTTTTTTTWAAAAAAGCAGCTTAAAGTACTGGAAAAAAGCAATAGCAAACAAGATCTCTATATTTGGCAAAAATACCTCTCATATTTTTAATGTTCTTTAAAATGAAGATATAAATATATGGTCAGTGAAGAAAACCAAGAGATTTATTGTCAGTAGACCCGTACTAAAAATAATTCCAATTCTTTGGATGCAAAGGAGATGATATCAGAAGGAAAACTAGAGCACTAAAAAAGGAAGAACAGAATATATTTGAATGTGGAAACCAAGAAATATAACACTATGAAATTTCAATGTAAATTTAATACATAAGATAAGGATAGTAAAGAGTTAGTAAGAAGATGATTTATATGATGGTAAGATACTGACATACTGTTCAGTGATAAATTACCCATTAAGTCCACTGTAAAAAGAAGTCAGGGTTTATACTGTAATTCCTAGATATACCACTGGGGGGAACCCTACACAGATATAATAAAAAAACATAACAAATTAAAATGCCAAAATATTTCAGAAAAATAAGAATAGAGAGGAATTTCCTCAATTTGCACAGAATATTTATACAAAACTTAGAGCTAACTAACATCTTTGGTATTTTTCCTCCAAGATAAGAAGCCAGGAAAGTCTGTCTCTCACCATTTTTATTTAACATAGTGCTAGAAGCTCTATCCAGTGCAAAAAGCAAGGAACAGAAATAAAAGCCAGAAAAGAAAAAAAAAACATATCTGTAGATGACATGACTAAGAAAACCCCAAATAATCTACCAAAAAAAAAAAACCCAACCCTCCTAAGTGATCAAGGTTGCACTATACAAGATCAGCACAAAAAACTCAATTTCATTTCTACATACCAGCAACAAACATACAGAAACTGAAATTAAAAATACCCATTTATAATCATAGCAAATAACATTATATATACAATTAATAAAACATATACAGAACCTACATACTGACAATTACAATATGCAGAGATAAGAAATCAAAGACCTAAATAAATGGAGAGATTCACAACATTCATGTTAAAAGATTCAACATAATAAAGATGTTAATTTTCTTCAAAATTAATCAAATACTGTAATGAAATATCTATGGGAAACCCAGCAAGGTATTTTTGCAGGCAAAAACTTACTCTGGAATTATGTAAAGGCACAGATCCTAGAAGAGCTAACACATGGAGCATGGTACTAACATAAAAGCAGACAAATTGACAAATGAAGTAGAGTAGAAATTCCAGAAATAAATCCATCCATGCATTACAGTCAACTGATTTTCCACAAAGATACCCAGACTCACAATGGGGGAAAGAACAGTGTCTCAATAGATGGTATTGAGGAAACTGGATTCTAAACACAGAGAAGAATGAACTTAAGCCCTTATCTCACATCCCTTATCTCACATCACATACAAAAATCAATTCAAAGTGAATTAAAGACTTAAATGTAAGATGTAAAAGTACTAGAAGAAAACAAAGGGGAAAAGCCCCAAGACACTGGTCTGGGCAATCTTTTTTTTTTTTTTTTAAGTATGACCCCAAAAATAAAGGCAATAAAAGCAAAAACAGACAAAGGAGATTACATCAAACAAAAAATTTCTGCCAAGAAAACAGATTTCTCCCTTCCTCAAAAGAAGATATATGAAAGTCCAACAGGCATATGGAAAAATGTTCACCAATAATCAGAGAAATGCAAATTTAAACTACAAAGAAATTATCTCAGTACAAGTTAGAATGACTTACTAAAAAATAAAAGGTAAGTATTGGTGAGGATGTGGAAAAAATATCCTGCTGATGAGAACATAAATTAGTATAGGCATTATGTAAAACAGTGTGGAGGTTCCCCAAAAAATTAAAAACAAAACTACCATTTGATTCAGCAGCCTAACTAATGGGTATAAATCCAAAGGAAATGAAACCAATATCTTGAAAAGATATCCATACTCGTATGTTTGCTGCATCTTTACTCACAAACAACCAAAATATAAAATCAATTTAAGCATCCATCAACAGACGAAGGTCTAAAGAAAATGTGGTATACATACACAATGGAATACTATTCAGCCTTATGAAAAGAAGGAAATCCCACCATTGTGACAAAATGGACAACTTGAAGGACATCATGTTAACTGAAAAAAGCCGAGCACAGATGAAAACATACTCCCACTTATGGGTGGAATTAAAAAAAAGTGAATTCACAGAATAGTAAGATGATGATTTACTTGAGGCTGAGAAGGGAATTGGGGAGATAGCAAAGGACACAAATTTCAGTAGACAGGACAGATAAGTCAAGAGATCTATTGTTCATCTTGGTGACTGCAGTTAACAACAACGAACTGTACACTTGAAAATTGCTAAGAAAGTAGACTTAAATTGTTCTCACTACAAAAAAAAAGTATGTAAGAAATACATTAAATAGCTTCATTTAGCCATTCCACAAGCTATACATAAAAACTATATATTAAAACTTCACGTTGTATACCATAAGTAATATTTAAACTCCAAAAAACAAGGAAATGAAATCAATTTGATATCTTTTCCAGAAAATACAGACCAATAGCTTTCATGAAGACAGACATAAAAATCTTCAATAAAGTATCAGCAAATCGCATCTAGTAATATATAAAAAGAATAATTCACCATGGCCAAATAGGGTTCATTATCCAATATCTAATGGAGTAGACTATTAATATATGCATAATTCAACAAAATTCAACATTCAGCCGGGTGTAGGGGCACACACCTGTAATCCCACAGCTCGGGAGGCTGAGACAGGAAAATTTTGAATTCAAAGTCAGCCTCAGCAAAAGTGAGGCACTTAGCAACTCAGTGAGACCCTGTATTTAAATAAAATACAAAAATAGGGTTGGGGATGTGGCTCAGTGGTTGAGTATTCCTGAGTTCAATTCCCAGTACCCCCCCCCCCAAATTCAACATTCATGCATGGGTAAAACTTTTCAGGAGTACAAGGATATTCTCTCTCATACTCCTGTTCAATGGTATCTGAAATACTAGCCAGAGCAAGGCAGGCAGATAGATTAAATCTATACAGATTAGAAGGAAATAAAACTACTAATTTGCAGACACCACTACCTATGTGAAAATCCCAAAGGGACTCCTAGAACTAATAAGTGAGTTCAGCTAGTTCACAAGATATAAGTTCAAAATTTTTAAAAATTATATATTCTAACAATGAAACTATCTAAAATAGCTCCAGATAAATGAAATATTTAGGTATAAAGTTAACAAAACACATGTAGTTTCTGAATACTGAAAATTATAGCTACATGATAAAGATATAAACGAAAAACCTAAATTAATAGGCAGGTAGCTTCTGTCTTCAGAAAATAAAGATATCAACTTTCCTCAAATTTATCCACAAATTAACACAATTCCAACAAAATCCCAAATATAGATATACTGATTCTAAAAATTTATAAGGAAGGAAAAAAGAACTAGAGTATTAAAAGACAATTTTGAAAAATGATAAAATAGGAGAAGTTATACTACCTGACTACTATAAAGCCAGTATTCAAAGTCTGGTACCAATAAAGGGATGGAAATAACAGAACAATGGAACAGAATCCAGTCTAGAAATAGACTCATTTAAGTATGGATGACTAGGTTGGGGAAGTAGATCAGTGATGGAGCACTGGCCTACCATGTGAAAGGCCCTGAGTTCAACCCCCAGCACCATACACAACACACACGCACACAAGCACACAAAAAAACTACAAATATGGACAAATGAATTTTGGTAATGCTTTATAGGAAATTCAATTTAGATAGGATAGTCTTCTCAACAAATGATATTTGAACAACTGAACATCCACATATACAACAAAATAAATCCTGTCTTAACCCCATTCGCCCCCCAAATTAATTTAGATTTCTCAATATTGAAACACTGTACACAGAAAAAAATTTGATATCTTAACCTTCTCAAAATTAAAAACTTTTGCTACATGAAAGACATTATTAAAAGGATGAAAATATGAGCTACAAGTGGAAGAATATATTTGAAATCACATTTCTGACATAGGAGTAGCATCCAGAATATATTAAAAATTCTCAAAAACATTAAAAAAAACAAAAACCAATGACCCAATAAAAGTATGGGCAAAAGACCTGAACAGACATTTCTATAAAAAGTATGTATGGATGGCAATTAAGTACAGAAGAGATGTTAAACAATATTAGTTATTACGAAATGCAAAATATACCATGTGGTACTACTACTACACACCTATCAGAATGCTAAAATTAAAATTACTGGTAATACACAGTGCTAGCAAGGGTGTGGAACAACTAGAACAGATTGCTAGTGGGAATGCAAAATTATACAACCTTTCTAGGGAACAATTTGATAATCATGTGACCCAGCAATTTTACTCCCAGGCATTTCCCCTATTTAAATGAAGCTTGTGTTCACACAAAAATCTGTACACAAATACTTGTAGCAGTTCTATGCATAATTATCTTCAATGGATGAAAAGCTATACAAGCATGATACATCCTTACAATAAATCCAAACTAAGTAGTCAAAAGCTTTGATTTGAAATTGCTAAATGCAACACTTTAGAAGAATGAATGATACCAGTCCTAAAGATTACAACACTGTGTGATTCCACTTATATGATGGTTCTAAAAAGGTAAAACTATAAACACTGATGTGGCTGAGTCCCTGTAGTACGCCGTTTTTAAGTCCTCTAGGTATAGACCGAGAAGAGGGATAGCTGGGTCAAATGGTGGTTCCATTACCAATTTTACAAGGAATCTCCATACTGTTTTCCATACTGGCTGCACTAAGTTGCAGTCCCACCAGCAGTGTATGATGTACTTTTTTCCCCACATCCTCGCCAACACTTATTTTTATTCATAATAGCTGCCATTCTAACTAGAGTGAGATGAAATCTTAGAGAAATGCAAATCAAAACTACTCTAATTGCTAGAGATGAAAATTTTTCATATATTTTTTGATTGATTTTATATCATTTTCTACAATAGCTAAATTGTGGAACCAACCTAGATGCCCTTCAGAAGATGAATGGATAAAAAAATGTGGCATTTATACACAATGGAATATTACTCAGCAATAAAAGAGAATGAAATCATGTTATTTGCAGGTAAATGGATGGAGCTGGAGGAGATAATGCTAAGTGAAGCTAGCCAATCCCCAAAAAACAAATGCCAAATGTTTTCTCTGATATAAGGAGGCTGATTCATAGTGGGGTATGGAGGGGGAGCATGGGAAGAATAGACAAACTCTAGGGATGGGAGGGGAAGGGAGGATGCATGGGGTTAGAAATGATGGTGGAATGTGATAGTCATTATCCAAAGTACATATATGAAGACACAAATTGGTGTGAATATACTTTGTATACAGAGGTATGAAAAATTGTGCTCTATGTGTGTAATATGATTTGTAATGCATTCAGTAGTTGCTTGGGGTCAGGAATATGGAGGAGATTGATTAAAAAAGGGTAGCACAAGGGAGTTACTTCAGATTGATGGAGTCACTCTGCATGCAGATTTTGATATTGGTTACATGAAACTACTTGTATATTAAGACTGACAGAAAATTATACCAAAAGAAAGTCAATTTTGCCATATATTAGTTTAAAAAGAAAGATGGTAAAACAAAGTAAAGTTATGCAGGAAAGGAAAAGGTGTCATAGCATACAATGTGCCTGAGCCATGAACAGCATTTTCAGCCATAAGAATGCAAATGTGAGTGGTGACCTAATGGAAAGTTTGATACACTCAGTATGATGGATGGTGGAGAGGGAACACAACAGTTATGTTTATGTGTGGTAGGGTGAAGGGATGAAAGAGAACTAATCCCTCATCCTTCTACTGGGTAGAACACAGATACATAAAACTGAGAAAGCAGAAATTGATATATATGTATTAAAGGAATAGAGGTAAAACTCCAAAATAAGTAGCTAAAATAAATGAAAATGGTTGTTTTGGGATATAGGTCACAGAGGAGAAATGGTCATAAGGGACTCTAGGCTATGTGTAAACATTTTTTTTCAAAAAAGTTATAAACCCTTTTCACTAGCATTGTTCTCAATCCCAGTGTTTAGGTACTGCACAATTCTTGAATATGGAATAAACATACAGGAGAGTAACTAGCACATCAAAGCCAGGTGATGCCTTTTCTTTTCCACGATCAAGGTTATGTCCCTAAAACACTCATCTTGGAGACTGCTAAAGAGAGAATTTATAATTCATCTGTGAGAGATGATCTATGACAATGAAAGCAGCAGAGCTTAAAAAGCTAATTTATTTCAGTCTCTTAATTTGTGAATTAATTATATTAATTACATATTTTTTAAAAACTACCTTTCCTTCTCCTACCTCATTTTCTTCCTTCAGATCCTTTGGCTCTGGAATGGACCACTTTAGATCTTCTTCACAGCTCTTGTGAGTTTTCAGAGAACTGAATTCAGAATCCTTTAATGGCTCCTTTGACATAGATTTAAGATGACTTAAATACTTTTCATCATTAATATCTTTTTAGTAGATATGAAAGAAATTCTTTGTCTTCTATATTAATGTTGTTTACAAAATCTACATGCCTATAAAATTTTGGTGGTATTTTTTGCTATGGTTCATTCAAATGCTACTTTATTTTCTAACTTTATCCCTGACCCTAGACMCTCCCATTCTGGAAAACGATTTTTAGGCAAAAACCATTTTTGAGCATATTTGACCAAATGTCTATGGATACCTTTCTGAAGGATACGACAGGTCCCAACTTTAAAGTAAAAAATACAGTAGGAAAACACACAACCAGGTCATAACAGTGCAATCTCTCAAGTAGCGCCATCACAGAGAGGTACTGAAAATATTACTGAGGGAGGATGTCTGGGAAGGCGCAATAAAGGAGATAACAAACTGTTAGGATGCTTAAAAGATGAGTAGGAAAGAACGGGGGGAGGCACATGTGTCTGTAGCATATGGCCATCTTGCTATATCAAAATATGACCTGGAGTGGGCTGGGCTGGGAGAGTTTTGTCCCTTTGTACAGAAAAGAGTCTTCTTATATTTCTAGGACTGAACAATGATTATCTGAAGACATCAACATCTGATAAAAATATTTAATATTCTAAAAATATTAAAGGTTGAGTTCAATTCATTTTAAAATGAGGAAATGTAACTCTTCTGAACTCAGTTAGAATGAGAGAAGAATTCAGGTTTGTTATGAACCAAACCAACTCAAATTAATTTAAAAAAAATTTTTTTAGATGTGGATGAACATAATACTTCTATTTTATTTGTTTTTATTTTTATGTGGTGCCAAGGATACTTTGCATGCTAGGCAAGCATTCTACCACTAAGCCACAATCCTAGCCCCCAGCCCAATTAATTTTAATATTTAACTAGAGATCTAAAATTTCTTGGTTTTGAACATACAACATTAATACACTTTTTTTTGTAACTATCTCCCAGTAGTCAAAATGGCTTTTTTATCTTTTCTAATAATTTGTAAATATCTACTAAAAAAAACATCTCTATAACTTTAAAAGTCAGACATACAATAATATACAACAAAAAATAATTTACATTTTAGCTCTAAGAAATAAAATCTACATTTTTTAATACTCAAAAAAGAATATTTTACATTTTATTTTATTCAACAAAAATAAAAAGCCTTATATCAACAACAAAATATTTCCAGCCTTCAGATTAAACACTTCCTATACTCTTATTCCTCATGACAACAGGTACTGGACTATCAGACTCAAGAGGACCTGTTTATCTATTCAAGAAATATTAAGTTCTTAGCATGAGCTTCACTTTCCTTTTATTTAGAATGGGAAGGTTATTATGCAGGTTAAATTCTCTATACATGTGAGCACTCAGAACAGTGCCTGTGAGGTAGTACAAGTTCAATAATTATTGTTGCTCTGTRGCTAGAATAATGCATAATAAAAGGTTGTTATAATAATACTGTTGTAACTGTGGATGGAGAGAGGGTTGGCAAACATTGAAGGAGAAAAAAATCAGAATCTGTGAAGAAGAACCTGAGCAGTGAGTATGAAGGACAGCATKTGAGTTAGAGAAGGGAAGGCACAACTACACAGAGGAAGTGAGTAAATAGGAGAAATCACCAGAGGAAGCACAAATACTGCAAAGGTTTAAGCTGCCTAACAATGAGAAACGGGTTAGTTGTAAGATCACTGGAAAACTTCAGTTCCCTCATCTGTAAAACGAGGATAACTAGAGTTAATTAAAGGAATTATTATAATATTTGTAAATATTATAATAATTAATAATATAATTTAACTGTTATTATAATATAACTTACCAGGGCATGGAAATCGCTCTCTTTGGATCGAGGACTTATCTCTCGGTCTTCATTAAAATAGTGTTGCTGAGAAGAATAACCCAGTTCTGTCAAGACAACTTTATCTGGCCCTCCACTGGGTTGAGTGTATAAAGCTAAAGGATTTAGGTCTCTGAAGCCCTGGATAAAAATAAATAGATAATTTTTTTAAATGAGGAAGGGTTTAACTATCCAATGAAAAAAGAAAGGACGAAAGTTAGTACTTCATAATTCTCAAGTGCTGTGGAGGTACATTACTTAGTTAAAAGCTTGCTCCACATTGACAGTCAAAAATTAGCATCAATATTAGCAGTGATACAGCTATCACTATCAACAGATCACTATCAATAATGTAAAATAAAAGTGTTGCTTTTCTCTAGGATGACCTAAGATAACTACACACTTTGCATTGAGCCAGTACAAAATCACTTAGCCACATCTCCAGTCCTTTTTATTTTTTATTTTGAGACAGGGTCTTGCTAAGTTGCTGGGGCTGGCTTTGAACTTGAGATTCTTCTGCCTCCTCCCCAGCCACTGGCACATGTGCCACCTACCCTGGCAAAAGTATTCATATTCTAAAGGATAATTAGCCAAATGTGGTTTTTATGGTCATCTAAAAATTAAGAGTGTTCTGCATTAAGAAGTCAGCAATGTGATGAATGGCTCTAAAATTAAAGAATAAATCAACAATCTTCTGTATTAAATTTAAGTGTTGAGAGCAAGCAATATATGTTGCAAAATGCATCCACACTGCTCTACCTTGGAAGGGACATTTTCTCGGCATACAATAGCATGGCCCTCTGCTCTTAAGACATGATGGAAATAGACATCTTCATGTGAGGATGTATCACACAGAAAAATGTTAAGGATTCCATCGATATATTCATCCACTACTCCTACTAATGGCTTCAGACCACACAATTTCTGGAACTGCAAAATAGCTCTGGATGTCCAGTGTTCCTGTAATATAATAAAGACACTAGATTTAGGTGATAGAGTTCAACATGAATTTAGTACCATTTATGATAATGTACAGTAGTTTTAAGTGGAAAAATCAAAGCATAAAATAACTAGAATGATACATAAGATATTATGATTTGAGGATGAGAAAAGTCAAAATAAAAAATGGTGAAAAAGTAATTATTTGGTGAGGAACCCCTCAATTTCAGAAATATATTATTAGACCAACCCTCCCACAGGGGAAAAAAACCCTAAAAAGTCTAGGTAAAATATCATTTTTAATATGCCCAGGACATCAAAGTACTAGCAAGCTAGTGACAAATTATCAGGCCAAAACTGAAGGGAAGGGCTAGGGTTGTGGCTCAGTGGTAGAGTGCTCACCTAGCACATGTGAGGCACTGGCTTCGGTCCTCAGTACCACATAAAAATAAAGGTATCTGTGTCCATCTACAACTAAAAAAATAAAAAAAAACTGAAGAGAAAGTGGGAACAACTTTTGTCTTAAGGGTACCTCCTAATCCAGACAAATTTGAACACTGCAAAGGAGACATATAGCAAAACTGGGGTCCACTACAGTAGGTTGTCTGTAGAAAAGTTTTCCTACATTGAGTCCTGCAAGATATGGTCTTGGGTAAGCAGGGAGAGAAAGAAACCAATCTTCACATGGGTTTGCACTTCAATTTTCATATCACTAGAGTGGTCCATAAATCTTCAAGTTGTTAATTTAAATTAACATAGTTCTGAAGTGCTGGAAATCCTAAGGAGCAGGCAGAAGCAAACATAAACCCTCTCCAGAGATAGGTGCACTCAGCTTGCATCATTTAACTATTCTTAAAATTTTTCAAAGACAATGAGCAGCACACAGGCAAAGATAAAATGCATAAAAACAATGAATCAGAAGAACAAGTAGAAACCATATAACTGCAACAAACCCTTAAAATCTTGGACAATTTCTAGACAAATTATAAAACTAAGCTTACTATGCTTAAAGCAAAGTCCCCCTTCCAAAAAAACCAACAACCCTGCTTAGTCTGAAAGATTCTGCAGAGATCAGCAATCTATAAAGACAAATATAGCATAACAAGCTTTAAAAAGTAAAACTAAAATCTTCATAGGTTAATTCAGGAGCAGTTTACATACRATTAAGAGTAAATTAGCAAAGTTGAAGATAATTTATGGAAAAAAAATTTACCCAGTGTGGGAAGAAAGATGGACATAAAATACAGAAGGCTGTTAAGAAGTGGAAGAAAAATTGAGGAAGTTTGACACTTCTAATTATGGCCTCAGTGGGCTGAGGCTGTGGCTCAGGCTTGCCTAGCATGTGTGAGGCACTGGGATGGATCCTCTGCACTACATATAAATAAATGAATAAAATAAAGATCCATACATATAAAAAATATTTTAAAAAAGTTATGGCCTCAGAAAAAGAGGCAGAAACGGAGGTAATAAAAATATAATCATAATTGAAGAGACAATGACTGGAAATTTGCAAGATTTAGTGAAAAGTAACAAACTAAGATTAAAAAAAAAAGTCCAGTAAAAAACAATGTAGGGGCTGGGGTTGTGGCTCAGTGGCAGAGCTCACACCCAGTGTGAGGCACTGGGTTCGATTCTCAGCACCTGCATATCAATAAATAAAAAATAAAGGTCCATTGACAACTAAAAAAATGTTTTTACAAAAACAATATAGGATAAGTGAGCATAAATTCACACTAACAGCCAGGCACAGTGGCCCATGCCTGTAATCCCAAATGGCTCAGGAAGCTGAGGCAGGAGGATTGCAAGTTTGAGGCCAGCCTCAGCAACTTAGTAAGGCTCTAAGCAACTTAGTAAGATTGACTCAGAATAAAAAGGGCTGGGGATGTAGCCTGATGGTAAAGTGCCCCTGGGTTCAATTCCCAGTAACAAAACAAAAAAAAAATTGCTATGAAGGGAGGGGAGAGGGTGTCGGGGTAGGAAGGGTAGTAGAATATATCAGACATTATCACCCTACGTAAATATATAACTATAGACTGGTATGATTCTACATCATGTACAACCAGGAAAAGATATATTCCATTATATGTATCAAAATGAATTCTTATGTATAACTAATTAAAAATAAAAAAATTAAGTCATTAATTAAAAAATAAATTTTAAAAAATAAAGTCACCATTTCCCACTTTCAAATAGGTTGGCAATTTGTGGGATGTATTCCTCTTCTTTATCAAACTTTGGTCTCCACTGATGTCTCCTGCCAGAATCAACTACCACTGTGACACACTGCCAGGTTAACTGACTCATTGAAAAAACTAACCAAAATGGCAAATACCTTTCTCTTTAGATCACAAAAAAGGAAGAGAATATACTAATGAACAATAACTGGAATGTAAATGGACATACTATTACAGTTGCTGGCATCAAAAAGAAAAGAAGGCAGGCCACACATGCATGGCTGCTGTCCCAGATATAAACCTTGGAGTACACCCCTGCACTGCTCCTGACCTTCATCTCTGCATGGACTAAGCCACACAAAGGACCATAGATGGTGCATGCCTGTAAGTCCCAGCTACTTAGGTGGCCGAGGCCAGAGCATCACAAGTTCAAGGCCAGCCTAGGCAACTTAGCAAGACTCTGTCTCAAAAAGTTAGAAAAAGGAGAGCTGGGGACATGGCTTAGTGGTAGTGCATCTGCTTAACATGCAGAAAGCCTGGAGTTCAATCCCCAGCAACTCCCGCCCCCCCGAAAAGGACAGGAAGATATTATGAATAATTATGCCAATAAAATGAAACTAAGTAAAAAGAAAACATTCCCTAAAAAATATGACACCAAAATCATATTGAGGAGGAACAGAAAAAAAAAAAACTACTACAAATACTGCATTTTTATTTTTTTGTGCCAGTCCCTTAGAGTGGGCAAAAGTTGATTGAAACAAAATATTAACACTGCAAATCTACTAGTTAAAATTTCACAAAATAACATAAAAACAAGTATATGTTAAAAATTAAAGTTTCAAATGATATTTTAAAAGTTTGTGACATTTATGTTTCTAAAAATAATAAAGCTTAAACTGCATGAAGACTTTTGGAATAAATATATATCAACACATTCTACTCCAAAATGAAATGCAATGATTTTACTTTTAAAAGTTCTATGTTTCCCAAAGAAATTCAGAGAATAAAACAGTTTTATATTTCACCACATATTAACTATTTTCCATAATCTTTATTCCTTCCTATAGATCTCAGTTGCTATTTGCTTTCATTAAGAGCTAGAAGGACTTCCTTTAGTATTTCTTGCAGTTCAGGAATACTGGTGGGCTGGGATTGTGGCTCAGCGGTAGAGAGCTCATCTAGCACATGCGAGGCTCTGGGTTCGATCCTCAGCACCACATAAAAATAAATAAATAAATGAATAAAGGTATGTGTCCAACTACTTTTTTTTTTTTTAAAGAGAGAGAGAGAAGAGAGAGAATCTTTAAATATTTATTTTTCAGTTTTCAGTGGACACAACATCTTCATTTTATTTTATTTTATTTATTTATTTTTTAAAAAAATTATTGGTTGTTCAAAACATTACAAAGTTCTTGACATTTCATACATTTGATTCAAGTGGGTTATGAACTCCCATTTTTACCCCGTATACAGATTATTGTTGGCAGTGCAAAACCAGTTTTGCAAACCTGCTCTTCATTGTGAGGGTTTCTTAACTTCAAGCATTGGTGGGCTACCACGCATAGAAACCTTGAAAAATTGTGTGTATATACACCTACATGAAGTTTTTTGGGGAGAAAGTTCATAGTTTCATCACATTCTCAAAGAGGCTCATGGATTCAAAAAGATTAAGAACTACTGCTGTGGATTAAATAGGGAAACCCACCGAGGCATGTCTCTCAGTCCCAGAGATATTGCACTAGAGAAGATTTCTTAACTCCTTTGCATTGAAATAGACTTCCCAAGTCTACTTAAGATAGGTATTTTTATGTGATGCTGAGGATCGAACCCAACGCCCCGCACATGCCAGGCGAGCGCGTTACTGCTTGAGCCACATCCCCAGCCCCATGTCCAACGACTTCTAAAAAATAAATATTTTTAAAAAAAGAATACTGGTGACAAAATATTCTAGTTTTTTTTTTTTTTTTTTTTGCTGAGCTGGGGATGGAAATTCAGGGTCACACAAGTGCTTGACCACTGACCTATGCCCTGAGTCCCCCCAGTGTTATGCACCACTTAACATTTTGGTCAATAAAAGTTCATGTATGTGACAATATTCCCAAAAGATTACAAAGGAACTGAAAAATTCAAATTGCATAGTGATGTGGTAGCTGTCATAACATTGTCACATCCTGCCCAGGTTTGTGGTGCTTCTGGTGGAAACATACCTACTGTTCGGCCAGTACTTGATGATGATGATAAACAACTACGTTACTAGTTTATATACTTGCTATACTATTCTTTTAATCATTAAAGGATATCCCTACTCGAAAAAAAAAATTTAACTATAAAACAGCCTTAGGCAGGTCCTTCAGGGGGGATGCCAGAAGAAAGAACCACTGTCATAGACAACAGCTCTGTGTTATTGCCCTTGCGGACCTTCCAGTGGGACCAGATGCAAAAGTGGAAGACAGTGATATTTTGATCCTGATCCTTCATAGGCCTAGGCCTTGTTTGTGTCCTAGTTTTTAATAAAACAGTTTAAAAAGTTTTTTAAAAGATAAGATAAAAATAACTGAAAATGGGTTATTGTTTTGGTTACCTTTTGGGTTGTTGTGACAAAATACCCAACAACAACAATTTACAGGGGCTGGTGTTGTGGCTTGGTGGTAGACCACTTGCCTAGCACGTGGCTTCTTGGAAAAGGATAAGGACAAGGAAAAGGAAGAAAGGAAGCAAGAAATTTTAAAAAAATTTACAGGAGGAAAATTTATCTGGAGCTCACAGTTAGATAGCCAGCTCCACAACTCGGGGCCTAAGGTGAGGCAGGACATTATGCAGGAGGGGGCAAGTGAAGGAAAGCTGCTCAGCTCAGGGTCAGGAAGCACCTGCATAGGAAGATGAAGTCACCTACCTCCTCTAGCCACAACCAACTTGCCCACAGTTACCACCCAGTCAGTCCAATCAAACTAGGATGGACTGATGAATTATAGCTCTCACAATCTGATCATTTCACCTCTGAATGTTCCTGCATTAATGGGAGATTTGGGAGAACACCTCATATCCAAATCATAATGGCTATATTTTAATCTTAAAATTAAAAAAAATGTTTAAGGAATAAACATTTAAATGTATTTAAAAATACAACCACCAGGCAGGTGGTGCACACCTGTAATCTCAGAGGCTTAGGAGGCTAAGGCAGGAGGATTTCGAGTTCAAAGCCTGCCTCAGAAAAAAAAAAAAAAAAGGCACTAAGCAAAACTATGTGAGACCCTGTCTCTAAACAAAACAAAATAGGGCTGGGGATGTTGATCAGTGGTTGGTGCCCCCAAGTTTAATCCCCAGTACCAAAAAAAAAAAACAAAACGAAAAACACACTGCCCAGGTAGGGTAGTAGGTTATACTATCTAGGTTTGTGTAAGTACATGCTATGATGTTCATAAAATAATGAAATCACCTAACAATCCATTTCTCAAAAAATGTCTCCATTGTTAAGTGACAAGTTGGACTTAAACTCTAAATTTTGTACACCCCTTGCTCTTGCAGTCTGTAGCAACTGAAATCTCTGTTCAGTTCCTTCAAATGCCAGTTGTTAACTTTCTCCTAGGGCAACTAGGTTGTCCCTAGTGCTTGCAAAGTTCAGTAGTCATCTAAGGATTTGGGAAGATTATATACGCTGTGTATACAATTGTATACCCATTCTGTGTGTTAAGTATTTGCCCCCTAACTTCTAGCTGTTCTGTCACTCTCAAAGAATCTCCTCTATTTCTTCAAGCCAGCAAGGCTGAAGAGTGAGGACTGCCCTCGAGAAGGCAGCTGGAAAGGTCCCAACCTTACCCGCTACAGTTTGATTTCCAAGGAGACTTCTGCTTTCCTGCCTACTTTTGATTTTGTCTGTGGGAACATAGTCTCATCACATTCCTTTGTTGCTCTTCTTCCATTACCAAGAAAATTAATCATTTTCAAAATTAGAAAATAGACATAGAAATAAAGTGAGATAGATTCATTTAGTTAAAAACATGATTACTAAGCTCTTAACATTAACCAAACATTGCTATAGGCACTGAAGATTCAATGGTGAACAGGACACTTATACTGTTGGGTTCAGATGGACACACAAGAAAACAGCAGACAGTGACAAGTATAATAAAGATAAAACATGGTGATGATGAATGACTCAAGGGGAAGGGCATACTTTAAACTGGCTGTGAGGAAAAGAAAACCCTTTGAGGAAATAATAGGAAGGGCAACCATGAAACTTCTTGGAATAAGCTATTCCTGTGACTGGAATGAACCAAAGCCCTGAGGAGGAGAGGTATAGGAGGCAAATAAGAAGGCAATGAAGAGGAAAAAAAAGAAAACAAAACAGAGAAGCCATTTGGCTGATGTAAAAGACATTGGTTATAAATGGGTTGCAAATTTAGCATCCAGCTTCCTGATGGCCAAAGCAGTAAAAAGAGACCCATTTAAGACTACAGACTAAAACCCAATCCTGATGGTAGTACAATGTATGGTTTTTGTGAAATCTGAGTGCAGTGGTGCACGTCTATAACCCAGTTACTTGGGAGGCTGGTCTGGGCAACTTTGTGAGACTGTCTAACAAAAAGGCAGAGTTAGGGGTGCTGGCGGTGGAGATTAGTGGTTTAGTGCTTGCCTAGAATGCACAAGGGCCTGCGTTCAATCCAGTACTGCAAATAAATAAAACAAAACACTTTGCGTACATTGTTTATAATAGTGGAAATGTAGAAGATTAAATGTCCAACAATAAAGGAATGGTTAAACAGGCCACAATGCATATTTAGCTAATAAATTACTATGAATCCATTAGAATTGAGAACTTAAAGTATATTTATGCTAAATGCTAAGTGAAAAAGCATAATATACAACATATTATGATTATTTTAGGTAACACTAAAAACCTTTCAAAAACCTGGACTTTCTACATACAATAAAATAAACTGGAAGAAATACAACAATTTCTAAGATGAGTGTGTCTCAGTGGTTGAATTATATGATTTTTTTAATATTTAATTTTTTTAGTTGCAGTTGTCAATACCTTTATTTATTTTTATGTGGTGCTGAGGATTGAATCCAGGGCCTCGCACATGCTAGGCGAGTGCTTTACTGCTGAGCCACAACCCCAGCCCYGAATTATATGATTTTTTTGGTTCTCTTTGCTGTATTTTTCAACTAAAAGATATTTTTAAATAGTCATTTATATGTAAGCAACTGATAAATTATTTAGGTTAAACAGACAATAATGGCGTGAGGAACACACATAGGTACGTGTAGGTTCAGAGGAGAAAAGGTAAAGGCCAGAGATAATTATAACTGCACACACCATACCTGCCTATGTGAATGTAAATGCTTTCTGCAGGCCCTCCAATCACCTTTCACAATGTATGGGAGAATTCTCTTAAAAATGACACCTGACTATGGCAGTTCCCCAGCATCTAAGGGACAGCAGCTTTTTGACCTCTGAACACGGCTCTCCACGTGAAGTCTGTGCCTATTTCTGACATCATTTGTCATGTACCTTCCAGCTCATTCTATATTCAGAGCCAACAGAACTAATTTCTTAAATTTGAAATGTTCACACTACTCTCCCTGGAATGTTTTTCCTCTTGTCTGGTTCCTAATCTTCTTTCAAAGTTCCACTCAGATGCCACCTTTACTATGAAACTTCCTGATTACCCTGGAGAGATGGGGCTACTTCCTTTTGCTCCTTTGTCATGCTGTAAGAATCTCTATTATAGCAAATACAACAGGGTACAACAATGTCTGTCCACATATTTCCATTCCATACAACATACCTGATTTTTGGGAGCAGAGGGGCCTGGTTTCATGTTTTGTTTTTGTATCCTAAGAACTCAGAAACAGTCTTGAAAAAAAATAAACACTCAAAATGTTTTCTAATTACTGGAAAACAAGAGTACATACCTCTACGGGTCTCACCCAAGCCAAAGAGCAAGGGATAGCCTGAGCGGGAAGCTTTGTGTAGCAGCACCTGCAGCAACAATCAATATGTGAACATTTAATCATATGTTTAAAGTGCATTTTTATAAAATCTCTGCTTCTTGATTTGTTATGCACAACATTTCAGAGTATTTTACTCATCAATTTAATAATAAATGCCTCGTACTTTAAAAAAACGAAAAAGTATAAAATACATCTTTGAGAGAACCATACAGTAGAAATTCAGGTTCAAGCTTCCTGAATATATGAACGCACTTCTTAGTATGACCCAAAGGGTAGTTTTCTTTTAGTTTTGGTTTTTAGTTTTTTGGAAACTGATGGTTGAACCCAGGGGCACTCTACATTCCCAGTCCTTCCTATTTTTTTGAGACAGAGTCTTGCTAAGTTGCCCAGGCTGGTCTTCAACTTGCCATTCCCAAGGAGTCACTTTCTTAATAAGAGGCTAAAATTTAGCCAAATGGTCCATTCAAATTCATAGTCAAGTTAAAGAAGACATGAGATTATAATCCACCTGTGAAATTAAATGACACTAAGAAGAGACATGAAAAGGGTGGAAGGATGGAGCGATAAAGCTAAAGAAAAATAAGAGAGATCACAGCCTCACCAAGTTTCAGCACTGATTCAAAATTTAATTTGTCCATTGTTCTTATTAAATTCAACTCACTTGAGGAACCTGAGAGAGGACTTCTGAACAGTTCCGATATTTCCAAAGTCTGGGTAGAATACTTCAACTTCCTTTTTCCCAAGCACTCGATGGATAATAACCCGATACCACCACTTATCCTCAGAAATCCTTACACAACACAGGTGTCCCGGCTGGACAAAACATTCTGGCATGATATATCGATCAGAAACCAGCTGGTTAGAATAACAACGTCTGTGGAATTCCATATACAGAGAAACCATAGGGGAAGAAAAATTAAAGATTGTTTTTATTGATAGGTCAAGAATAGAAAAGCCTGGGCAAAAGGCAAAGAAAAAAAAATCAGGATTTTTTTCCCTGATTTGTTAATGCTTACCAAAGCCAAAGAATTTTATTCTTTTTTCTTGTCCAAAGTCATTCTCTTTATTAACAAACTTATTCAAAGATAAAGTATGAAAATTATACATTCATTTTCTTATCTCACATTCTCAGAACACAATACAATGCGATCTCATTTCCCATCTCTTCCTAAAATGGACATTTTTTAAGGCAGTAGGTCTCAAAGTATATACCCTAATGCTTTTCCAGGAGGTCCACAAGATCAAAACTATTTTCATAATATTAGTGAACCCTTATCTGCCCTTTACTATGTTGAAATTTGCATTGACCATGTAAAAGTAACAATGGGTACATAAGCCAGGCACCTTAGCTAAATCGAGGCAGTGGCAAACTTATAGCCACTTAATTGTCACTGCCATATATTCACATTAATAAAAAAAAAGCCAATGTCATTTAATATCGTCTCTGATAAAGATTAAGCTTATTAAACAGTCACTAAGTGACATCTTTTCAATACTACGTGACAAAAATGAAACTAAGTATACATAAGGCATTTCCCTAGTTATGTCAAGGAAAAGCTTGTGTGTTCTGAATTGTGACCTAATCTTTTATTGGGAGGGAAGTATGATTTTTTTCACTTGAAAGATGAATTAGTCACTGTTTTTCATGGAAAGAACCACCTTTTTTTGCTCAAAAAAAATTAACGAATTATGATAATTCACTTTTGGGCGTTTGGTAATCATCTTACCCAAAGTTAAGTGAGCCTGTCACCGCAAGGAAAACAACAGTATATATTGTCAATGATAAAATTCAATTTTTCAAGTAAAAGTTGAGACTTTGGAAATACTGCATCCACCACCACAAGCTTGACCGCTCGCCAATATTTCATGTTTTTCTAATGACTTCAGTAGTGTTATTAACAAATGTGATTGGAGTGGGTAGGATACTGGGGAATGAACTCGGGGGCACTCAACCACTTTTATATTTTTATTTAGAGACAGGGTCTCACTTAGTACCTTACAATTGCCGAGACTGGCTTTGAACTCATGATCTTCCTATCTCAGCCTCCTGAGCTACTCAGATTATAGGCATGTGCCACCATGCCCAGCAACAAATATGATTTTTAAATGTTATGTGATGAAATGTGCCAACATATAAAAATATGTATAATTTAGTGACCTAGCATTTATACATGGGCAAAAGATTAATTCAGGGATGCTTTCTCATGAATTCATGCTTAAGAGGCCTTGTGTTTCCTTAAATGCTCTGCCATCACTGTCTTGAAATTCTTAATTTTTAAGTAAGATGCCCTGTGTTTTAATTTTGCACTGGGACCTGTAATTACATAACTAGTCCTGGATTGACTAAAAGCACACATGTAGACCAATTTTAACATAAAAGCGTATGAAAAATTCAAATTTCACAGTGTAATCTTCAAGAAACTATCATTTGTCAACTTTGGGCATATTTTAAAAATAATATTCACAATTTTCTGAAAAGGCTATTAAAATACTCCTTTCCCAAACTATATATTTGGGAAGCCAGATGTTTCCATACACTTTAACCAAAACCACATATAGTAGTTTTACCATTTTCAATGGTTTTTGCTCAGTTACCCATGGAAAACTGTAGTACAAAATTATTAAATGGAAAATTCCAGAAATAAGCAAATCACAAGTCTAAAAATGCATGCTTTTCTGAGTAGTATGATGAAATCTTGTACCATCCTACTCCATCCGGCCAGGGTGTGAATCATGGCTTTGTGTAGCATATGCCCACAGTATACACTACCTGCCCATTAGTTACTTAATAGCTACATCAGTTGTTCAATCAACTTGTGTTACAGAATACTGTYATAGTTGTTTTATTATTTTTATTGTTGTTAATCTCTTACTATTCCTAATTTATAAATTAAACTTTATTATAGTTATGTGTATATAAGAAAAAAAAACAGTATATACACAGGGTTTGGTATTATCCTGTTTCAGGTATCCACTGAGTATCTTGGAACATTTTGCCTGTATAAGGTTATCTGGGGCTATTGTATCTCAATAGATTACATGTAGAAGCAGATATTAAAATCCAGCTTTTTTTCCCTATTAAGCCAAATATTAAAGTGATCTGTAAAAATGTAAAACAATGGTACTCTTCCATTTTCTAAAAAGTTATTTTTATAAAAATGTTATATTATCACCCATGAATTTTTAAAATAAGCATTTTTTAACTCTGCAATTTAATTTCTATATAGGAAATATCAATAAACAAAAGCTCTCTTTGGGTCTTTCATTTTAAGAGTCCTGAGACCAAAAATGATAACTCCTAATTAGAATGATACATGAAAAAACACATTGAAAAGAAGGACTCCTACCGCATTTCAATCATCATGTCTTCAAGTAACTCTGATGAATCCCTGCTATAGATTCGGATGTAGAATTGACTTGGAGAGATAATATACTCCACAAAGACCCCCACAAGGGTACTGGTATCTAATGGTGGAAGTCTGCATAATTTCTTCTCCTGTACAGCATCTGGTGGGATATCATGATTTGCCATTGCCAAGCTGAGCTGTGATTTACTTATTCCTACTTGCTACAAGTTAAAAGAAAGAAATCAAAGAAACCATAATAAATCTTTGGGTGACATTTCAAACCCTGACATTTCTCAAAGTATACTTCATTAGTTGCCTTTTTCAGAATCATTTGGGAAATTATAAAAATTCATATTCATGGGTTCAGGCCAGATTTACTGTCTCAGAATATGTGAGAATGAAACCATGCATATCAAAAAATTCCACAGGTGATTCTTATGTTAAAATATGAATATATTACCTTCTGATATTAGGCAAAGAGTTAAGACATATTATGCAAATGCCTTATTAAAATTTGACAACATGATATTTCAAATATTCAGGCTGAACTAAAGTGAATTCTCATTCTACTCAACCCTACCAACAGGGAAAGGTAACGAAGTCTAGATTAAATTTTAGACTAGTCTTCCAATCAAAAATAGGATTGTGCAAACATTTCTAAAATATACCATTTTGTCTTCTAAAATAAATATTCCTGTAGGCCTTTTTATTGTCCTCCAGAACAATATAGCAGGCTCTCAAATTTTTATCATCTCATGAAAGGAGCCAGATACTGAGGGTACAATGAAGAGTAACATAAGACTAATTCCTTAGTAATAACATAAGGAATAGGAGAACAGAACACAAAAAGAATTGTGTGTAAAGATGTAATGACAGGAGGCTGGGGATGTGGCTCAAGCGGTAGCACGCTCGCCTGGCATCGTGCAGCCCGGGTTCGATCCTCAGCACCACAACAAAGATGTTGCTTTTATTTTTTTTTTTTAAATAAATATTGAAATTCTCTCTCAAAAAAAAAAAAAAAAGATCTAATGACAGAAGGGTGAGAAAAAAGGACCCAATAACTGAGGTTGAGTGCAAAGGAGATTTGCAGCAGCTGTTGAGGCACTCAGTCAACAGCTCCTCTGTGGTCCCCTTGGAAGCCCCTCAGGATTTTCCAGCCCACATTTCAATCACAGGGAGACAGAGACAGTACCATCATCATATAAGGACTATCCAATCTCAAAACCATCTGAAAATTGAGGGAAAACTGGTTACATAAATTACTGAAAAGATACTATATAAGGTGACTTTGGATGAAAGAACTAATCTTTTCAATAAATGAGGTATATAGAGACAAGATTTTTCTAAAAGTAATTCTGGTTTCATTTGGTTACTTTTCATAATGCTGAATCTGCATTGTGCAGTCTTTAAACCTCACTCACCAGCTGTAAAGGCTTTACAACCAGATTAGGCTTCTTATATATCTTCTGTTCTGGTTCTTTATGGTTCTTCAAAGGGCAATCCCATGCAGTCTCCTTGACAGCAGCAGTAGACAGTGAATTTCTAGGGGGACTGGAGACACAAGCCTTGGCTTCCATTTTCTTATCTGGTTGAACTAAACATAAATTTCTGACTGTTGAAACAGCTCCATCTGAAATGGCCAACAGAACAGCCTGTGCATATTTGCTACAATAATAGTACAATTGTTAATAAGCATCTCCTATTTGCCAGGTACTAAGGAGATAGTGATAAATGAGAAATACTAACCTGTCCTTGTATATCTTGCCACATGGAAAGGTCTAAGAGAAGTTCTAGATGAGAATGAATCCTCATTTGTGTGTGTGTGTGTGTGTGTTGGGGCAAGGGGAGTATGTAGTATGGCAATGCTTCTTAAAGTTTGGTGAATGGCTTTATTTTTCAATATCCTGATTTCAATTTATTTCTTGTTCTAATTAAGCTCAAACATTCATTCATCGTTGTTTATAATGTACATGGCTACTTAATATTCCATGATTCCTTAATTCTTAGGCATCCTCAAGTCGATCACATGTTTTGTTTAATTTACATATATATGATGACCACAAGTAATTGGCACATTAAAACAGACTCCAGAAAGATAGACCTACAACCACAGTGGTTCCGAAAGAAATAAACAGAAAGTACAGAAAGATGTGGGTACAAAAATATGTATCATGGGGCTGAGGAGGAAGCTCAGTGGTAGAGCACTTGCCAGCATGTATGAGGTCCTGGGTTCAATCTCTAGCACCATAAGAAATTAAAAAAAAAAAGTTTATTACTATATTTCTTATAATGGTAAAAATGTGAACAATGTAAATGTCCATCAATAGGAGACTGGAACTTACCTCAACATTGTAAAAGCTATATATATGCTAAGCCTCAGGCTAGCATCATCCTAAATGGAGAAAAACTGAAGGCATTCCCTCTAAAATCTGGAACAAGACAGGGATGCCCTCTATCACCACTTCTATTCAATTTAGTTCTTGAAATACTAGCCAGAGCAATTAGACAAAAGAAATTAAAGGCATAAAAATAGGAAAAGAAGAACTTAAAT